GTGGTGGTACAATGTAAAGAAGCTTACCAGAAACTTAAAGTGACCCTTAAAAAACTCAGCATGTTTTATCTGGGGAAGCTATTGCCCTTATGAGATTTCAGTCCCTTCACCTCGTGCCTTTTATTTATACAATTACTCAGAGGACAGGAATAGCAGGACAATTTTTAATCATGGCAAAAAGTAGCAGTAGCATTAAAAAGTAAGTTATTTGTAAAACAGAAATGTGGCCTGGATTTATGGATAAATAGCTGGAGGATGAAGATACTATTTTTCTGAAGTATCAGCTAAAGCCCATCTGTGCACCACTGTCTGATGATGTCTTAATTCTTAACCTTATTATCAAAGGCTCTCAGCAAAGGTCATCAAACAAACAAACAAGCCATTTGTTAGAGACAGATATTAGGAAAAATATGCATGAGTCACAGCATTGTTCTCTCCCTGTCCAGGAGTGGAATTTATAAATTATTCTAAACATTATATTTTAAAGCAGTAAAGCCACTCATCCCAAAAAAATTTTTACCTCCTATTCTCAATTTCTATTAGGCTTATTCATCACTATTTCATTTTCAAAGTAAAAAAAAAAATCCCTGAAAGGAAATTGCAAAAGAATAAACATTTATTTTGATGACAAAGGGAAGATCATTCAGATTTGTTGTATTCATTTTCTAAGCACTTTTTCTTCTTTAGTAAATATTGGATAGAAATCACATAGGAAAAAAGACTTAAAAAAGAAGCTTTAATTGCAGAACACAAAAAATTCCTAAACAGATTTCCCATTTGTAGTGATTTAACACTCTTTCGTGCACAATTCAGGAATTAGTCTCCTGAGGACAAGAATGCAAGGTGCTTACGGTTCTTACACAGTATCTTCCTTTGGGGTGTATTGACAAATGGTCACTGCCAGTAAGGAGCTATGTGATAAGATTCTCTGAGATTTCTGATGTCAGAAAACCCATGATAGCACAGCCTGAAAACATGAGAAGGCACAAAGAAGGAAAGTACTTATTTTTGCCCATAGGAGAGGAGGCTACTGAGAATTTGATTAAATGTTCCTGCCACAACAATTAATATTGCAT